CTGAAGAGTCCTGGCCTGTAGATGAGCGTAAACTGAAGAGTCCTGACCTGTAGATGAGCGTAAACTGAAGAGTCCTGGCCTGTAGATGAGCGTAAACTGAAGAGTCCTGACCTGTAGATGAGCGTAAACTGAAGAGTCCTGGCCTGTAGATGAGCGTAAACTGAAGAGTCCTGACCTGTAGATGAGCGTAAACTGAAGAGTCCTGGCCTGTAGATGAGCGTAAACTGAAGAGTCCTGACCTGTAGATGAGCGTAAATTGAAGAGTCCTGGCCTGTAGATGAGTGTAAACCGCAGAGTCCTGACCTGTAGATGAGTGTAAACTGAAGAGTCCTGGCCTGTAGATGAGTGTAAACTGCAGAGTCTTGACCTGTAGATGAGTGTAAACTGAAGAGTCCTTACCTGTAGATGAGTGTAAACTGAAGGGTCCTGGCCTGTAGATGAGTGTAAACCGTGGAGTCCTGGCCTGTAGATGAGTGTAAACTGCAGAGTCCTGGCCTGTAGATGAGTGTAAACCGCGGAGTCCTGGCCTGTAGATGAGTGTAAACTGCAGAGTCCTGGTGTGTAGATTAGTGTGAACTGCAGAGTCCTGGCCTGTAGATGAGTGTAAACTGTAGAGTTCTGGTCTGTAGATGAGTGTAAACTGTCGAGTTCTGGCCTGATGATGTTGCTCTTCTGTGTTGGCCCATTTTTTTGAGCAGTGACTGCTTTGTTTCCCTGATGTTCTGTATAACTGGCCACAGTCCTCCTGGCACTTAACAGCATACACAACATTACTCTGTTTGTGATGAGGGACTGGGTCTYTGGGGTGAACCAGTGTTTGCTGTAATGTGTTTTGGATTTTGAAAGCCACTGGCACATCATGTTTAAAGAATAAATGTCTCAGTTTCTCTGAAACTCTTGCAACAAACAGAAAGACCATTGGTCTGAGTCTGGGTTTGGGGTCCTTCTTTTTACACGATAGCTGGCTGGAGTCCTGTTTGGCAACATGACGACCAACCAAGAACAGTCACGTGAAAGCGCCTCTATTCAATATACCTCATTGCCTTTAAACACCCCCCCCACATACCCCCCAGTGCCTTAAATGCCAGCCCTCTGCTCCACATGTATTTTCACATGTGCGATGGGAAATATGCAGAGAATTAATTTCACCACTATTACTAATTGGAGTATCATAATGTACATGAATGCTTTGTATTATAATTGGAATAAACTGACTGTAATTAGATTTGAATCTGAGTTAGACTTGTTTGTTCCTCTCTGGTTTAATGTCCCTGCCCCGAGATCACTGTTCTTGTGAATTGGCGCTGTAATAAATAAACTAAGCTGAACTGAAGTGAAAGTGTGTGAGGCATTAAAAGGTCAGTGTTGGGTTGTAAAAGAAACTACCGACTTCCTGGAAACAACCAACAAACCCACGAGTTTGGTTCAGCAGACACAGCGATCCAAGTTTACTCTGAAAGCCCAACTCTGAAGTCGTTACATCAAGAACACAAACAAACCACWCAGAACTTCAAACTGTCCAACGTTATGTTGTTCCTCTTTTAGTCACAGAAAGATGAACAAGTTCGACCTGAAACGTCTACTTCCTGAACGTTAGCATTAGTTCTTGCTGGGCCTGGTGGGTTTTCAGGTGGTGGTGGTCTCTGCATCACCTTCACACCTTTGCTTTGCGGAAAC